TGTGGCTCTTGATCTTCCTTGTCTGTTCTCACACTGCTCCCCACCATCACCCGCACCTTGTCATTCCCCAGTTGGGAAATCTTTGCTGTCTTGCCCTCCTTTGCTAATATGTTTTCATTCCAGTAGTTACATATGTGTGTTGCACTTCATATTATTTTTGTGTTATTTAAATGTGGTGATCAATGTAATAGGAGCAAATGTTTATTGCTGTCATCTTTTGCATTGAATTCCACAATTCAGTTATGGCACTGGTCAACAATGTCAAGTACAAATGATTTGGGAAAGTCTGACACATATAAATGGTACAAGCATCAATAAAGGTATAAAAGCACAAGAGCAGTCCAATGGACAAATTTAATTATAGTATTGTGGAATTTTTCATATTTGCTTATTTTAGACATTTAGAAGTTAATAATAGTGTGACTGATGCATGTGGACAATAAGAAATCAGCATGTGTTTTTTAAGTTGTTGGGGAACAAAGTAACTCTGCTTTTTAATCATAGCATGAAATATTCTCATGATTATGTAATAGCTTCATTGTTTGCCACAGGCTGCAGTAGGAAATTGACACCAATATATTTGAAACGCTTATATTGCTACTTAGAAGAGTAACAAATATTTCAGCTCCTTGTGCATTTTCAAGTAAATGCATGGATTACATAATAAATTGATTTGTGATAGGCAATCTAAATAATTCCATGGCTATTTGAATCCTTTAATGTCCAACTGACATAGTCTGCACATGTATGTCTCCTTTTGTTACGTTTGCAATGGAAGTGTTTTTGAAATGCGTACAATGTACAAATGTAATAAATATTAATATAGATTTTGGGCATAAGATACATATACTTATTGGGACAAATGATCTTGTACCAGTCTGCTCAGCTGGACAATTTGATGATTGCTTGCTTTCTGCAAACGCTCTTGTAGTGGACAAAATGTCATCCTTGCCTTATTTAGAAGTATCGACAGCCCTGTATTCTTAAATTGTTCCACATGTTGATGCCACTGATGTTCATTGTCTTCTTTGTGCCATTTTACAGAATAAATTTTGCAATTATTTAAATCCTAATTCCAGCACCAACAATGGGTGGAAAATATTAGGCAGATTCAGATTCACTATATATGATTCTCCGGAAAGGAGTCAGTATGCAAAGGAAGCAATTTGTTAACAGAGTACAGTTGTTGTAAACTTCTGAGCTGCAGCAGCAATTGTATCCAAACCAATTGAGGAGTTCGTATTCTGCAAGCAATGGAAATGGAGAATATGTTACTTATGAAAGAAGTGTTGATCCACTAATGAGACTATCAAATTTTGGTTGGAAGTTCTTCAGGTACTGACGATATGATCAATTTCTCACTGAAGGTGTAAAGTATCACTTTTGATTCCAACACTAAATTTATCCGTGCATAGCACAATGGTGACTTCAACGGAGAACATAGGGACTGACTCTGCAGGAATAGAATCAAGTCAAACAGATTTTAAAAATAGTGTCTGATGAATATCTGCATCAACAACATGTTCAACTCATGCAGCGTACAGGCCTAAAATGTAACAAGTCACTGCTAACTAAAGTAGGCACTGTTTAAAGTTTGTCTATTGATTGATGCTAATATTGAATGTATTTTGTGATTTTTCTGTCTGCATTTTTGATACAGTACACTAAATAATACAACATTCACAGTGTGCTACTTTTCCCTCCTTCTTAGATTGAACACTAATATTGAACTTTGTAATAGTTTGAAAAACCTATTGAATGATAAAGAAGCCATTGATTCACTGGATCCAGATACAAGGTATTTTTATGTTCTCTTTCCCATTCCCTTTTACCCACAATCTGACAAGATCGCACATTTTATACCTAAATGAAGTTACAGAGCTGAAATTCAAAGTATGAGGAAAGGATTGTGGTAGCCTCTAGATATCTCATTGGATTATTTTAGTAGATACACATCCATTTGGAGTCATTCATACTTTACAAGACAAATAGGAAAGTATATTGTGAAAAAGGCAGGGAAATTGCAGACAGGTATAGATAGGCTTAGTAAGTGAGCAAAAATCTGGCAGGTGGTAAAATGTGAAATTGTTCACTTTGACAGGAAGAATGAAAAAGCAAAGTAACATTAAAATGGAGAACAATTATAGAATTATCAGGTGCAGAGGGATTTAGGTGTTCTGGTGTATGAATTACAACATGGAAGTATGCTGGTACGCATGTAATCGGGAAGGCTTGAGAGATACTATCCTTTATCGTGAGAGAAAAATTAAAAGATGTTATCCTTCAGTCATACAAGGTATTGGTGAGACTACACCCTGAATGTTGTGTGCAGCTTTGGATTCCTTAATTAATGAAAGATGCAAATACATCTCTTTTCCCTCTTGTACTCTCTCTCGCCCCTCTTTCTCTGTCCTTTTCTCACGCTTGCTCTTTTTCTCTCCTGCATCCCCCGCACATCCCTGCCACTTTTTTTCACCTCCCCTAGTCCCTTACCGTTCTGTCTTCCTCCTTTCCATCGCGTGAAATGAATTGCTAGTCTAGAGCCACATACTAATATAGAATTTAGCCAAATTGTCCATTTTAAGTTAGTTTTAAAAATATATTCCGTTAAGTTTATACACAGACCATTATAGGAAAGCCCAGTTTTCTGATAATTATGATATTTGGACATTCGGACCTGTAACACTGGACCTTTTGATTAAGGTACTCCATGGAATGTTCTTAACCTGATACTTTGTCATGACAGTTCTGAAATATTAGTGCAAGTAATTTTTTGAACTAAAGTTGACATGTTTAATTTTATCCAGTTGAAAAATAACACTGTAAAATTGAGCTCTGTTTAAAAATTGTCATTTAATTGAGCTACAACAAGACTATTTGATTTTTCATTCCACAGGAGAGTGGCAGAGTTGTTTATGTTTGACTTTGAGATCAGCGGAATTCATCTGAATAAGGAAAAGGTAACAGTTCAAACAAAACAGGAACGCAGAGAATTTGCGCTAATAGATATCCTGAGTTTGTGAAAGGTGCTGAAAACCTTTTCTAGTTGATTTAAGTACTTTTTACAGTGGCTACACGTCAATGTGGGAAATCTGGCAACTGACTTTATGACAGCAATGTACTACATATAACACTCTGATAACAACAAAATAATCTGGGAGATAGCAAGAACTGCAGATGCTGGAGTCAGAGTCTGAAGAAGGGTCCCGACCTGGAATGTCGACTTTCCTACTCCTCTGATGCTGCTTGACCTGCTGTGTTCCTCCAGCTCCATATTGTGTTAACAAGATAATCTGCCCCTTTTATAGTGTTGGTTGAGAGCCTGGAAATTAAGAGTACTTCATTGTTGTAAAATGTCAAACTTTTACTTAATGCACATTTTTTTTCGCTACAGAAGTGCACAGCAAGTACCTTGCAGTTGTACACATAGAAGAGCGTTCAACAAGGGCATAAAACATCTTAATTACATCCTAAATTCTGTTAAAATAACTCATAAAGGTAATAGGGATTATAGCTCTGGGATTCTCTTTATTATTTCAGGTTTCTGAAGGAGAGTCTATTAAACATACGATCTTGGAGAATTATTATACAGTTCTGCAGCACAGAAAGCTATTTTGCCTGACCTAGTTCTTTCAGGGAACAAAGAGTTAATCCACTTCCCTGGCTCTTGCCCTATAACCATGTATTTTGTTTTCTGTCCAAGTCTTAATCCAAGCTCATCTTGAAAGCTACTATTGAACCTGTTACCACTACACCATCAGACAGTGCATTCGAAATCCTAACCACTTGCGTATATATGGAAAAGGAACTTCCGGTTCTTTTGCCAATCACCCAAAGTCTCTGTCTTCTGATTACTGACGCTTCATCTGTTGGAATAATTTTCTCTATTTTATTCTAAATATAAACTGTTTTTGTGATTTCAAATCCTTCTTTCAAATCTTCTCTTAACCTCACTGGCAGACCTCCTGAGTTTTTCCAACAATTTCAGATTTTCAGCATCTGCAGTTCTTTGGTTTTTTTTTCTCTGAACATTATTTACTCCAAGAAGAACACCACCACTTGCAACTGTCTATTGTGTAACTGTTATCCCTCGTCCCTGAAACCATTTCTTGTCAATCCATCCTGCACCCACTCCAAAGTTTTTACACACTTCTTAAACCATGTTTCCAATTTGGACATCAATGTTACATTGAAAATCAAGCTAGTGTTTTAGGATTTGTGGCTTTTGTTAGGTTGTAGGTTTTGCAGTGTTCTGTCTTTTGTATGTCTTTATTCATAAAATTCCATTTGCTTTGTGTCTGCCCGGTTAATATGGTCTGTCATAGAGTCATACAGCATGGAAACAGACCCTTCGGTCTAACCACTCCATTTGAGGTTGGTTGGCTCGCCAAGCTGGTTTGTTGTTCTGCAGACGTTTTGTTACCATTCTTGGTAACCTCCTCAGTGCAGTCTCTGATGAAGCGTCGGTGTGTTTTCCTGCCTGGCTTTCAAACTCAGGGGTCCGTTGCGATGGATTGCCTCACTTCCGGGTTTCCTCCGTAGTGGAATGTATAAGGGGTCGAGTTCAATGTGTTTATTAATAGCCTGCTTCGTGGAGTGGCATGCTTCCAGGAATTCTCGTGGTTGTCTCTGCCTAGCCTGTCCCAGGATCTTGGTGTTGTCCCAGTCGAAGTTGTGGTTCTCCTTGTCCACGTGGATTGAGATGAGTGAGTATTGGTCGTGTCTTTTTGTAGCCAGTTGGTGTTCATGTACTCTTGTTGTTAGTTTTGTTCCTGTTTGTCCGATGTAGTGTTTCTTGCAGTCGCTGCAGGGGATCTTGTAGATGACATTGGTCCTGTCCATGGCGGGGAGTGGGTCTTAGTTCGGGTGAGCACTTGTCGTAGGGTTGATGTGGGTTTGTGTGCCACTCTGATGCCAAGCGGTCGTGGAAGTCTTGTGGTGAGTTCTGACGTGTTCCTGATGTAGGGTTGTGTGATGAGTGTCAGGGCGTGTAGAATCTTTCTGATGCTGTTCCTGTAGGCATCTCCTGACCCAGTTCTTTGGATATCCATTATCCTTGAACACTTCATCAGAGGCTGCACTGAGGATGTTACCAAGCACGGTAACGAAACGTCTGCAGAACAACAAACCAGCTCGGCAAGCCAATCAACCTCAACACCCACAACCCGAGCTACAAATCTACTCCAAAACCTTAGTAACCAGTCCATGCTGAGCATAATCCCAAACTAAACTAGTCCCACCTGCCTGCTCCTGGCCATATCCCCCCAAATCTTTCCTATTCCTGTATCTATCTAAATGCCTTTTTAACATTGTAATTGTTACCACGTCCACTACTTCCTGAGGAAATTCATTCCACACGCGAACCATCCTCAGTAAAAAATTTTCCCCTTTCCTTTTTAAATCTCTCCTGTCAGCTTAAAAAAATGTCCACAAGTATTGAAATCCCGCATTCTTGGGAAAAGACAATTACCGTTAACTCTCTATACCCCTCATTATTTTGTAAACTTCGATCAGGTTGCCTCTCAACCTCCTACACTCCAGCCTTTCTTTATAACTCAAATCTCTTCTGAGCCCTCTCCAGCTTAATAATATCCTTCCTATAACATCTTCGAAGATTTGTGGACAAACACTCCCAGATCTGTTCTTGCACCCGTTAGTATTGTACCATTTTAGTTTGTATTGCTTGTTTTCAATTCTGCATCAAAATGTATCTCTTCATATTCAACTGCATTGAATTTCATCTGCCATGTCTATAACCATTCTACCAGGGTGTTCGTCATCTTAAAGTCTATTACTGCTCTCTTCGCTCTTTACTACGTTTGAACATTTTTTATCATCTGTGGATTTTAACGTTGCGCTATGTGTCTCAAAAATGGCAGTGGCCATATTACTGAACCTTGCAGAACATTATCGATTATCCCAGTCTGGTCTTAAAAGTAATTTACTGCAACATTTTGTGCTCTATCCCTAATTAATTTTTGTGGCTGTTCAGCTTATATGACATTTATGCTGTGAGTTTCAGTTTTGGTTTTAAAAAAAATCTAATACTAGATAACTGCTTTTGAGGATCCATATCTGCATTAATAATTATTCAGCCTTCACATATCCTCTGACACCTAATCAAAAATACCTGTTTTCTTCAGTCATGCAATGTTGGTGTTGCTGACAAAATCAATGTTTCTTTCCCATTCTTAATTACCCTTGATAAGATGGTGGTGAGGTGCCATTTCATGCAGCACTGCTGTCTCCATGGTGAATGTATACCTATGGTGCTGTTAGCTAGTTGTTAGGAATCACTGGGGGACTGTGCTCGAAATCAAACCCTGTTATTCCTGGACTCTTCAAAAAGTTAAAGGATTTTAAAAATATGGAAAATTCCCCAATTTACCTAATTTTTAGACCCAGATTGTTGGAAAGTATGGACTGCGTTTCTATACTGAACAAGAATTACTAATTACTATAAATAATTAGATTCTTGTTACAACTATAAAGTTATAACACAATTAACCAAAACACTGATTCCCTTAAAAATTCTTTCTTACATGCACACAGCCAAACAAACAAGGTAAAATAGATTACGATCAGAGGGGAAAAGGGGGGATGAGAGTTCAGCAGTCTTTGTTACCACGTTTTTGTTATAAGTCATAGAGCCATACAAGACGGAAACAGACACTTCGGTCCCACCAGTCCATGCCGAACATAATCCCAAACTAAACTAGTCCCACCTGCCTGCTCCTGGCCCATATCCCTCCGAATCTTTCCTACTCGTGTATCTGTCCAAAAGTCTTTTAAACATTGTAATTGTTACCACATCCACTACTTCCTCAACAAGTTTCATTCCACACACGAACTACTCTCTGTTTAAAAAAAATCTCTCCTCTCATCTTAAAAATGTGCCCCATAGTTTTGAAATCCCCCATCCTAGGGAAAAGACAACTACCATTAACTCTATACAATAATAAGGGTTATAGATAATCTTCTATCAGGTTGCTTGTCAACATCCTGTGCTCCAGTGAAAAAAGTCCCAGCCTATCCAACCTTTCTTTATAATTCACACCTTCTATGCCCAGCAACATCCTGGTAAAGAGATAGAAACTGCAGATGCTGGAGAATCTGAGATAACAAGGTGTAGAGCTGGATGAACACAGCAGACCAAGCAGCATCAGAGGAGCAGGAACGCTGACGTTTCGGGCCTAGAC